AGAAAACTTCTGCATGCAAGGATTGCTCCACTGTTGTGCATGAATATTCTGCTCCAGTTGCCTCTTTGAGTGGAAGAAATTCGACAAGGAATCAAAGGCCAAGGCCTTATAGAAGTATTAGCTTGTCTATTGCTTTTCTACCTAATACCCAGTTCTCTTCTCTCCCTATCCTACCTTCTTCTCTCCCTCTTCATACATCAGACCATAGCTTCCCTTTTTGTAGCCCTTCCACAAGTGTGAAATGTTCAGTTGGTAATTCTTCGGGTTTACTGGAAAGACATTATATGTTAAAATAAGATGTCAACTCTGCTAGGTTTAAGGAGTTGATCCTCCCCTTCTTTTCCTTAGTTATTCTAGTCATAATTTGCCTTCTGAAAAGGTAGATAATAACCATCTCTCTTTTTCCAGTTCTAAGGGGAAGAGGGTAGGTTCAAAGGAACCACTTCACATTTCTAATTTTGATGCATGTTTTTTTTATCAAATGGAACGTGTGTGGATTTAACAATGATGTCCACATTTCAGGCCGTAGAAATCTAGTTAAAGACTATAATTTAGATCTCCTTTGTCTGCTAGAAACCATAATTTCTTTCTTTCCCTCCTCTGGATGTTTTAATATAAAGCAATTTAACATGTTTTCTAATGAGATGAGCGTTGATAACTTTCATATAATTTACATTTGTTGTATATGGACGTTTTCTTCGACAGGAGAAAGGATCTTACATTATTTAACATATTCATGGCATTATTACTTTGAAATATTAAGAGTCGACTTCTCTTTCTTGGGCATAGTATCTTATCCAGTAGCACATATTTTGGCAAAAGAAGTTATTTTGGTCTAATTTGAGCCGTTTAACATTGACTGGTCCTCATATAAGCGACAACCAAAGTCAAGTAAACTGCTCGCAGCAAAAAATCAACTGTCACACACGTCATGAGATCCACCTATATCTTTCAAATTCATATGGGAACTCAACAATAGCTTCAATATGTCGGCTTTAATTGGCTCAATTGGACGTCAAAGATTAGAAATCGTCCATATGAAACTTTAAGGAGCGAAGAAATTGCTTGAATTTCTAAATATTGTAAATTCTGGTCTAATCCTCTAGGAGAGTTAAAATAGAAAAAAATCATAAGGCTGGATCCTAGGGCATCTAAAGAAAGGGAGAGGAAGACCTCAAAATCGAGGTCAACATTTGTCTCTATGTTTCAAGCTACTCATCCACCTAAGCATTCAGATCTTCGCAACACTTAACTTAGTTTTATGCTTCTCTTCTATAAGTTAACATTCTACTTCATAAAGCATTGTGTGCAGATTTCATCACCATCTTATAATATTTTCTTGTAAGTCTAAATGGTAATTTTCTATAACATAATAGGCATGATGCTTTCCTCCACTTCAACCATCCAACTTGCATTCTACTAATAACATTCCCATCTATATCACCATCACCTTGAAAAAATATACTTGAGACATCTAAAACATTCACTCCTTATAATGATTTGATCACCTACAACACCACCAATAGATCTATTACAACTAAAATTATAATCCATTCATTCCGATTTAAATCTAGTCAAATGAAGGCCTTTAGTAGATAATGTAAACCATCCATAAACATTGAAACAAAGAAAAAGAAAACTTCAAATCTCATGGCAAAGCTAAGGAAGAACGCAAGAATAGGCAAATATCATAAATTCATATTCCAAATGATCAAGAAATACATCCATAACTCATAATGATTAAAACAGATAAGAAAACCTTTCCATTAGATTAAAAGTGAGGAAGAATTTCATGCTTATAGCTCAAATGGTTGAGGGAGAACGGGAGATGTGTTTGGCTATTGCAAGAGTGAGTTGCGGGGGTGTGAGGTCTAGTGGCAATGGTGAGGGGGACGACAACGGCGAGATACCGACGACCGACACCAGCGAAGACGAAGTAATGGAAAGGATGTTTGGCTGTTGCAAGGAGCGGGAGCGCGAGCGAGAGCTGTGGGGGTGAGAAGAAGAAAATGAATCCGAAGAGCACGGGGTGGCAATTTTAGGTCTTGTACATCCTCTTTTCCATCACCTTTGTCAGATTTGCTTGATGCTCTTAAGTGGCTAGTTTGCATCGGTTTTTTGGACACAAATCTGTCTTAAAAATTGTCGTAACATAAAAGCAAATTTCACTGCCTCTGAGTACTCATTTGCGTTGAATTATCATAGGAAAATTAGATGCAATTTCCATTGCAAATAACAACAAATATTTTCCCCAAAAAATGGTTGGAATTCTGATGCAAATAGCTATGTCAAAAAATTTTGATGTAAATTTTTCGACAATAATTATCATTTTTCCTGTATTAAGACTAGCAAATTGATAGTTTCCAACTCTTCGTTCCTCTCGTTAGAAAATCAATAAAGTGGGGCAGTCGTAATTGTCAATCTGTCATTGTTGAGGCCCATTTTATTCAACACTTACTTGAACATGATATTCACATAGTTGTCGGTGTTGATAAGGATGCTACTAATCTGCTCATTGGCGATCAATATGTTGATGACGATAACATCGTTGTAAGAGTTACCCTTAGGGGACCAATCTTCTTAGTGAAGGCTATATAAGAATGTTAGATGTGTTTGGGTATCCGGGCAACTGCACATAACTCTTCTGATCGAAGCCTCTTCATGTTGAATCAACGGGAGAAGTCTCTACTTCCTCCGAAGATGGCAAGAACTATGCTAGCAATGAGCATTTAACGGACTTGGACTACCTCATCTGAGATCTAATCCACTGAATCTTTCCCCTATTGCTGGGTCTTTCCTTGTGGAGCAACAAACTCCTTCAACTTTCTAGAATTGATCAGCTCTTTGATTGGGCCTTAGAGGTGCCAGCACTTTGTATCATGTCTATGGTCCCAACGGTGGGCATAATACTTCTTTCGGTCTTGGAGAGAAGCTCTGGTTTTCATCTGGGTGGTGTGAGGGCACTCTTGAAGTAATCTTTATTATGAATGGCATCCGCTATCTTATCCATCAAAACTCTCAACATATTTTTTTCTTGGGCACTTCATTATTAGAGAGCGGTCACTCATTATATCAAGTTGGCCGCTAGTCAAGATATCGGGCCTGACTCCTTAAGTGGTATGTTTTGTGAGTCGCCCTATGGTCCCGAGGTTGTCAAACATCTTTATCTCATGGAAAGACGGAAGGACGAGAAATCATTTTTCAGTCTCCACCATTCACCTATTAGGGCCCTCTTCTGCGTGCAATGGGTGGATTACTGTACTCCAGGGAAACAAGATTTGAGTTGTGCTTCTTGATCGATATGTGGTTGTTGGCTAGCTCCAACAACTTGGCTAATGTTTTCAGTTACTGCAAACCCAACACGTACCAAAAGGGTCCTTCATTCAGCCTCTAAATTAAGCTGACATGAACGACTAAGGGATCCATGTTCCGTAATTCCAACATTTCCTTTTGAAAACGGGTAATGAACAAGCACAAAATCTTGCTCTATCCTTAACGGATCTGCCAAAGGGTTTATGAGTTTTCCTGAGGCTTCAGGGCACCAACAAATTGTATCACAAACAATATGCTGGTAAAGAAGACACGACATTCCAGCATATTGTTGAACCTTAACAAACACACAGTCGACTTAAACAAAGTTATATGGTCGGTCAAATTGGTCCTCCCCTTGTAGGATTCCAGAGCAGGGATCTTGAAAGCTGTGTGGGCTCAGCCTCAGAGATTTACCGAGAGAACCCATTCTAAGGCTATGGAGGTGCCTTAGTATGCCTGAACCGATGTCGGTCGATTGGTGTTGACCCAACACTATCGAAATATTAAGAGTTGACTTCTCTTTCTTGGGCATAGTATCTTATCCAGTAGCACAGATGATATCCAACATTTGATCCTTCAAATTTTGGATCTGATGAGTTACAAACTCTCTGATGCACCCCATATTTTTTGTGTCTTTGTTGTGGGTTATTTCTCCTTAGGTTGCTCCTCTCTTTGTTTGTGGCATGATTCATGCTTATTGCACTTTTTAAGATGTTGAATCATAATTTTTCTGTCAATCACTCCCAAAGAATAAAACGGAAGGAGAGAGAGAGATGAAGAAAGAAGAACAATAATAAAAAGTAATATGACATGTTTTAGTCATGAAATGATTACCCTATTAATAAGAAAAAGAGCATAACATGACTATGTTACATTTTTTGTCTTACTTTAATATGGTTTGTACTAATGTATTTCTCATTTTTTACATGTATGGACTTATCGTATGACTGCTATTTGGCTCAATCAACTAAGCTTAATTGGCTTCAAGTCGGCAGGCACTGGACTAAGCCTGGTTGACATGAGTCAATCGACTGATCCAGTCTGCTTGTCAATCCTTGATAACTAGTGGAGGACTTCTGAGAGTCCCCTGGATGATTGGAGAAGTTGAGGGATCGGATCCTTTCTCGGATTGGCTTTCCCAAAGTGGTTGGCTCAGATGTTTATTGATCTCATTTCTAACTGAATGGTTCGAGCTCAGATCATTTGATCATGTTAGTGTCCTCCTTGTTGTTCAATCGGCTTTAGTCTTTCTGGCTTCGACCAGGGCAGCTTTACTCAATCGAGCAAGTGAGGCCCACGGTCTTCTGTCGATGGCCCTCCTTCGTTATTCCCTTATCTTTTCGACCGTTAGATCTTATTAGGATCAACTCTTGCACATTTTTATGTAAAAATGCATTTATGTGTGCCACGTTCAAACCATTAAAATTTTGATAAAAGTGTGAAATATGAGTTGTTGTTTTATCATGAATGTCGATATTTGAGCTCCAAAAATAAAATTTGCATAGATACCACATATATCTAACGTCTAATTTTAATATACATAAAATCAAAACCATACATTAAGTAAAACTTTAGTATAATTGAGACAATAAAATATTACATAAATAAATATCAAAGTATAAATATTAAACATGTTAATATATAACAATTATATGAAATAAAAAAAAATCTCTATATATATGTAGGTATGACACCACTAGCGACCCAAATAATTTAGTAATTGAAGACGAGGTTGCAATACCGTCATTTAGCGCGTCATATTTGCCCTAAATTCCATAATATACGGTTAAGCTCTTGACCACGCTCATTTATTCAATCAAACAACTTCACAGCCGTAGATCTTCATCAGGAGCTCTGCACCGGGACGGACTTCATCATATTCTTAAATTCAAAGTAATCAACCCGTCCATCACGATTCCGGTCCACCGATCCAATCATCTCATAAACCCGGTCTATGCTCCTTCCCTCAACCAAGCCAAGCTTGCCCAGCACAGCCTGCAACTCAATGGCCGAGATGTATCCGTCTCCATCCTCATCAAACACCGTGAATGCCTCCCTCATGTCGGCTTCCTCCGCAGCGTCGGCGCCATCACTATCTCCGAAAATGGCGTCGCCGAGCGCTTGATGGAAAGAATGGAAGGCGTCGAAGTTGAGACCGGACTGACCGGGGTGGAGAAAGGAGGCGACGAGGGGTCGAAGCTCGGAAGGATCGGCGCCGAGGCCGAGACGATCTAGGGCTTCGCAGAGCTCGTCGGCGGTGATGATGTCGTCGCCGTTGCGGTCGAAGATGTCGAAGATCCGGCGGAGGCGGGCGGAGGTGAGGCTGGGAGGGGGG